ACTCTGGCACTGTTGCTTGTTCACAAGTCATTGATCAGGCGCTAGTAGTAGAAAAGCAGCATTCATAATACAGCTTGCAGCTATTTCGAGTTAGCTCCTCTCAGCAGGAGTCATCTTCCTGGAAAGGCCCCACGGAGAGCAGCTTAAAATAGAAATCATTAGGAGGGAGATGCACTGCAAAAGCAGCAGTGAGAAAAAAACAAAACCTCAGAGAAGTTTGGTTTTCTCTGCATCCATCTGATTTTATGTCAAGTGTACTTTGTGCCTTCATCTGGCAGGGTGTTTGTCTCCCACCTCCTCGGTGGAAGGGAAGAGGTGCAGATTTGTCTTCTGGATGGATGGGCATGAAGAGATGCCTGAGGGGACCTTGTCTACAGCAGACAAGCTTTCCCATTCATTTAGTGCAGCTCTGGTTGGGTGGTTGAGTTTCTTGCAAAAGCTGTATTGAATGCAAGCAAAATTTTCAGTGAAAGTTACTTTATTTAATAAGTTTCTAAAATAATTATGCCAAGCCTAACAGCTTTTCCACATTCAGAGAGGAATGTTTTGAATAGCCCCTTTCCTTGGTCTGGGAAATCAGCAGTGACTGCTCACACCATCATGGAATATAAAGCATTTCAATCGTCAGAAAGCATAAGCTTTATCTAATTTTCCTGCTAGAAGCTGCTGCGGCTGTTTTTCCTCTTTCATCGCTATACATAGCATGTCTTCAGTTTAAAATTTAGCAATTAATTTAGGGGAAGGAAATAGAAATCGTGATTTTTTAAAGTACTTCTACACTGAGTGTGCATGTAAAGTGATTCACAATTTTCCATAATGTAAGAACAAGAAATAAAAAATATATTTCATCTTAATTTTTAGCTGTTTCAACTGTTGCTAACGAATTCGCTACCTGCCACAGTGTTTCTCCACATTTTTTAAAAAAGAACATGAATGCAATAATTTGCCTGTTCCTGCTCTGTAGTTGTAGTTGGATTTAAAGTATATCAAGGCAGCTGATCACAGTCTTACTCAGGAAGTAATTATTGATTTACTGGTCTGGTATCTATCAGACCAGTAAATCAATAATTTTAAACAGGTCTGCTCATTTAAGAATAAGTACCCCAAATTAATTCTAATTCATTATATAAAAGTCATCCTTTGAGATGTGAATCTGGTTTGAGGGCATCCATCAAAGTAGATAATGTAGCTAACTCTCTGAAGAGAACAACTGGTTTAACAGCTCTGGTATTTCTGAGGCTTAGTCAGGCTCACTGTCAGGGTATGACAGTTCATTTTGTGATAGTCAGACGGTTTGTTAGCACTGTTTTGAAACAAATCCAGACTGTTGTAATGGCAGTCTGGTATCTTGTACATCTCACAGCAGTGATCTGACCACCAGGTGAGAAGTTGCAAAATTCACTTTTTGTTTTCCTCTACTAAGAACTTCATTGCATAATGAAATATTGTCTTTTTCTGCAGAAAACATTTGGCATCAGCTAAATGAAATCTTGAAAGAAAGAAAAAAAAACAAACTAGGCAGTCAGGAATATTTGACCTTAACCTTAGTTTTCTCTGTACAATAGGATTCTGATAAATTTTGCATAACAACAGCTATCCCAACAGATGGATATTTATAGCACAGAATGAAACTGGACTCAGTTTTGAATAACATAAAATCACATAGTCTGTTTGATTCATTGTATCAGTGGGGTTTTTTTTAAAGGTAAGAAGGTGTTTTCACTTCCAAATTGACATCAGCAGGGTTTTTAAGATAGTTGCTTTTTTATTAAAAAAAAAGGTGGATATGCAGCAGATAAGTAAAAAAATCAATATGTGGCCAATTCATTCATATACATGAAGCACTTCTCTCAAGTACAATAACATCTCCTATGAAGGAAGAATTATTAAATTATACATTTCAGCTTAAAGTGTAAGTCCTTCAGCTGAATAATATTATACCAATATATATATCAAAATAGCACTCTTGAAATAGTATCTTTTAAAGTATTTCCAGTTGCAAGGGTACCTTTTGAGATACAGAAAGGTAAAATAAGCTTTTTGTCTGCACTGGAGATCTTGTTTTCCCTCTTCATCTCAGCAACTGACTGCCCTATGAGGTCGCCCCAGCAGTGGGAGAACCTTGGATGAGAGTCCCCCAGTGAGGATGCTGTGCCCTGGTGCAGCCATTCACAGGAGAGCAGCGCAGAGCTCGTAGCAACTTTCGTGCCATCCCTCCTCTTCTTCCCAGCTCTCTTTCCAGTCCATGTGGATTTCAAAGGAGGGTCCCAGCAGAAGGATGTGATCAAGGTGGCACTCATGCAAAATCACTTTGCTTGTGTGCTTCACGCATCTAAGGATTTTTTTTTTTAATTCCTCCCTACTCACTAGCCAAGGAAGAAGAATGAGCATTGGTAAATTTGGGTTCCACTCATTTGAAAGTTAACAAACTTTGCGTTCAAAAGAGATGAGGGCAGCAGTTCAAGGACATATTTAAGAAAAGGATTCATTGCCAATTCCACAAGGAATTCTACCTTCCTTCTGTTTCATTGCACAAGAGAAGGACATCCCAATTTATGCCTTTATGCCTCAGTTGCTACTTATTGGCTGAATTTCCTACCTTTTTCCTCCTAATCTTTTTTCCTCTGAAACTAATATTAAAATCTGGCATTAATCTTGCTAAAGTAAATATGTGATGATACAAACATTTCTATTAATTTTTATGGCTGGGTAACTATCATAAGTTTTTAGAAATTTATCAATGTACTGGCTCATCAAACACAGTTTCAGCTGGGTTTTACAGTGATGATAAATTATTTTCCTTATTTTGTTAAATACTGATTCACAAAACATCTCTAAAGGTCGGTAATAATACTAGAGTAATTCCATGTCATGTGGAATACCTTTCAGCTTTTGTTTTCTTGCTCTTGTTGTCCCAGTTTTTTATGGTTCCTTCATTTAGTCTTCAACAGGTTAGAGGTTTGCTTTGAATTATTTTCTTGGTCCATCTGCTTAGTTTGTGTGCAAACTAAGTCCTAGTTTTTTAATGTATGGTTTCATTGATGTGGGGGTCACACACACTATGGAATACTTTCCTTTCCAATGCTGAGAAATGGAAAGACAGTTGAATTTGGTGATTCAGACTGTGGTCAAGCATGGCTGTCCTGCCTATGAAGGCTTTGGACTTCTGATGTTTCAAATTCTGGACCTTTTAAAATAAGGAAATCGTGCATTCTTTGAAACAGTGGAAAACAGAATGTAATTTATTCTTTTATAAATACATATTAATATATTTTACTTACTAAATTGAGAAAATAGACAATTTAGATATAAAATAAAAAAGCAAGTAAAATGTTGCAATAATTATGGATTTTCTCAATTCAAGCTGCTACATATTTGCAGAAAGATCTGTTTTTTATTATTTCTGCCCTTCATAATGCAGTGTCTTTCTCATGTAAAATTGTTCAATTGTACAACAATTTTACAATTGTACAACATTGCTGCAGGACATTGCCACTGTAGTATAGTAAATAATGTGAGCATAGATCTCCTTGTTCAGGCAGGATGCTCGTGCAAAGCTGAGTTGTGGTACCTTCATTGGTATTCTTGACCTTGATCACATCACTTTGACTTTTGACAGCTGTTGCCTTTCATGGTTCTAGACTCTTTCATTCCTTCTGCATCTCAGATTGCTTTTTAGCAGTTCATTTAGTACTTAGGTGTGGTTTCTTTCTCTTCTGCTCCCTTTCTCTTCCTCCTTTATACCCATTACTGATTTCTGGCCCCGACTCAATTTCAAACTTGTGTTTATAGACAAGTTTTAAATCTACCTCTCCACTTCTAATCTTTCTTCTTGTCCTGTCTCCCACATCTCATTATATTGCTATTTATTCTGTAAACACAAAACTCATACCAAATTACTTAATGCTTTTACTTGAAACTTCATATTGTGTTAGAGTTGGCAGTGTCATCATACTTGTCCTTGTCAGGATCATCTGTTAACAGCAGTTCACTGATTTGGGCCCTGAACATGCAGGATGTTGTTAAAAACAAACAAATGCAATGCAGGTGTGGATTAATTGTACAGAGCTCTACTTGTGAAGTACCTGGGATACACATACTTGTGAGCAGCAAAGCATTCTTCCCCAGTGAGTGTCACTGAGGGATTTGGGCTCAGTCTGTGTATGTAAGACAGGAGTGGCACAAAGGTCTGTCATTTTAGTTGACAGATACCATCTCATTCTGCCAACCTGTCTCTAGGAATCTTTGCTGTTTTCTTAAAGAGTAGGAAAGCAGGAGCTGGGAGACCAGAGAATGAACTGAGTCTGCAGAGTTATTGGAGTTGTAGTTTCTCTGGACTGTGTTGGAGTGTGGAATTGCCTGGGGCTTTCTTCCTGCAAGCCTCTATACCAGGGTAGTGAAATGCATCCTTGAAGGACCATGCTGTGGCCATGGAAGGCAAGAGTCTCCTGAAGTGTTGGTACTGCACTGCTCCTTCTGTCAAATAAGTTTCGCTCGGCCCTGGATCTTTTACCTAAAAGAAGATAATAGAAGGGAAATTAAACTTTTTGTAGTCTTTCTATAAAGAGTATTCCAGCATCTGCAGTGGCCATGGGATCAAAATGAAGATTGCTGTGCTTCTACCTAAACCTTTCTGTGAGATGCAGCAGATTTCTCTGTTTTTGAATGCTTTCCAAAGCATTTTTAAGTTCAAAACTGTACATAACACAGCGGCTGGTGTGGTCTTCTAAGAGCCAGTAGTAGCCTGAGTCCCTTGGTACACAGGGACAACAGAAGTCCTGCCGGAGCAAAGCATTGCTGGAGGCTTCCTGGCAGCAGTGCCAGGCTCAGGCTGGCCTCACCTCTGCAGATAATATGGTTGTCAGTATCTAGGTTTGGGTACAGAATTGTGTTTGCAGGTCACAGAAGTTTGTTTTGAAAGCATCAGTCAGGAATAAGTAACAGCACGTTTGAGTTTATTTAGGATGTGTTCTCTCTTTATCTTTCTTTTGATGTTACAGGAAATATTCAGGAAGTCATTCTGCAAGAACGCTTGGAAAAAGAAGATGAAATTCTGGTTTCCTTGGCTGGTTTGAAGCAGGTATTACTATTGTTTGGCTTAACATTCTTGTGCCCTTCAGAGCTATTAATCCTTTCTCTTTTTTTTTTCTCCTGTTTTATTGTTTTTGTATACTGCTGTTTTGTCTTCTTGTAGCTGTTTTACTGGTGCATCAAACCTTGTGATGTACTTTTATTTGTAACAATAAAACTCAGCTATAAAGAGTTCAAACAATTTGCACAGTATTTGCTCCTGTGGAAGTTTTGGAGGCCTCAGATCAAAACTAAAGTGCAACACCAAGTGCTGGACTTAAGCCATGCTATCATTTTTCTTAATGCAAAATATACTTGCTAGACAACAACTACGCCCATGTCCCCATTATTTCATTGTGACAACACTTGAATATCATTGAATTAAAGGAAAAAATACTACATACATAAAATGAGAATGCTGTTGAGCATCTGTAGCTCTGATTATACTGCCCTCTCCTCCCTCAAAATACATTTTATGAAGAGCAATGTGACATATGTTAAACATATAATGAGGCAGGGAGTAAGCTTAACAGTTTTATTCTCTTTAGATTTCTTGGATAGTTTTTTCCAGACTCTAACAGAAACCACATTTCATTGTTATTTCTATCTTTAGCCAATATAGGTATGAGTATTTACTTGCTTCCTATGTTTTCAAAGCAAATATTTTGGGGAAATGGTGTATGAAAGCAGTCTGCATGGAGCTTTAGAAAATGTAGAGTTCCTCCCAGTTTTTAACTTATATCCTTTCCTTTCCTATTCAACAACAGATCAAGGATATCCTGAAAGGTTCATTGCGTTTCAACCAGAGCCAGCTGGAAGCTGAAGAAAATGAGCAAATCACTATTGCTGATGATCATTACTGTTCCAATAATCAGAACAAGGGGGCAGGTGATGTCCTAAAGGGACCTGTCATGACAAAGCAACAGTTCATCTCAGGACAACAGGTAAAATAAAAACATCTCAAGCAGGCCATTGATGGCCTTCCATTTTTTGGAGACTTCCTCTAGCATGTCCAGACATTATGTGGGACACACCATCATTCCTGGTGCATATGAGAGTGGGTTAAAAGTGTTTCTCTAGCTACTGCCCTGCTCTGATTAGTTATCTTTATTGTAGCATTATGCTCTGCACACATATTTAAGTCTAAGTGTTAGGCATTTGGGGGGAGTTCTTTATCACTGTTGAATCACAGAATCACAGATTAATTTCCTACAAAAAAAAGTGAAAATTGCAGGTAAATGTTCCCATACCAAATGTTCCCACGTGATAATTCTCATTGTCCTTGTCCTCCAGGATCCCATTATGTAAGAGCTGATTAACTGCATTGCAGTGTATTCATGGCCTGTGCCAAAAAGGAAATACCAAGGAGGTTGCTTTTACCTTCTACTTCATTGTATTGACTTTCTCCTTGAATCTGTAAACAATGTTTTCACATACAAAGCATACAGTCATAGGACAAGTTCATAGACAAAGGGCCCTCTCTGTCTAAGACTCAGTCCAACCCAAACGTGATCTTAAAAATAAGTACTTTTGTGCCTGCTCGTTTCTATGTTAAGAGTTCTATTAAGTCTGCCACCCTGCTGCTGATACTCATAAATCAGTGGCAGCATTATCACCTCAAAGTCTTAACTGAGTCTGCAGTCAGTTCACTTTTGACAAGTTTACTTAGGAACTACAGGGAATATTTATTCCTTTTCAAATAATGACACAGTGTCATTTTGATTTATTACACATGATGCCCCTGAGTTACATCACTTTGTGTTAAATATATATATTTTAATTGTATTTTGGTATTAGAGGCAATACCAAAATTTTTTTTTTATACGCAGTAATGGTGAAGAGTAAAGCTTTGCTAGAGAGTTTCAATTTCTTGCTTAGCTGTTGTCATTACAATCACTACTTTCTGCTATAATAAAGGCAGAGTTTAAACTGGTACAACATATTGGACTGTTTGTATAATGGCCTCCTATTTTTGCCCTTGATCTCCTAGCATTTTCTGTGAAGTACCTTTTGTTTTCCTTCCAAAATGGTAAATTATGTTTTTTGATAATTTTTTACTTCTAGAAACTAGAAGGTAGAATGCCATATAACATGGCAGCAAGCTGTGTGGGAGTGTGTGTGTGTGAGAGCAGACTGCTGATGCTGGAGAAGCCCTTACCCAGAGGCTGGTCTAAACCATGTACCATGGACATGCTGGACTCTCTGGATATTGAGATTGGAGCAGGTGAAACCTGGTCTGCACAGATTTCTCTCCAGTGCAGATTTTCAGGGCGATGTACAATGAGGTCTGGGCTTATCCCAGTGTGTAGTCAGGGTATATACATCCAGCCCCAGGAACTGAGTGGCATCCATGGCTCCCACAATTTCAAGGCTGCTCATAAGTCAACTATGAGCAACGTGAGTAGAGGCTGTACAAGCTGAGCTGCTGCAGAGCATTAATGAGGCATTAGCACTGCATGGTTTATGTTTGGAGGTGCAGCACATTCATATGGATTAGCCTCCTCTCCTCTTATCTTCGGGAACTTCCAATTATGATAATGAGCAACAGCACCTCTGATGGAAAGAAAAGGATTGGTGTTAGAAATGGTACTCCAGGAGGACTGGTGGTATCCTTAGTTAGTTAATTAGGGATAGTTTGTCTATCTAACTAGCCCCTGGTTAGCCTGTGCTGTTTCCAAGCCCTCGTCTTTAACCACTATGCATAAAATCAAACAAAAAGAGGAGAGCTTTAGACCCCTTCTAATAAAACACAGGACAATAAAACTGTGGAATAGTGGACTGTGATATTAGACATTGATGGGCTTAGTTGCTGGCCCAAACCAGGCCACAGCCCTGGTTTGCAGCTCTGCTGAAGAACAGGGACTGCACCGGTGCCCTGGGTCATGCTGAGAGTATTTACCAAGAGCCACAGGGGGATTAAAAAACAACCACTTCTAGCCATTTTAATGCATTTCTTGCTAAATAAATTTCTACCCTATTTGCATTTTCTGGGACTTTAGTAATGCCCGTAATTCTACTTGGTGTGATTTGTACTGTAGAGATTTTTTCTTTGCTGGAGTTATAGGGTTATTTTCTAGGACAGCTGAAACAGTTACAGGTGTAGCTATTCTATAAATGAGATTAAAATCTGGTCTTTTGAGCCTGGTTGTTATATAAGTATAAATTATTTATCATCTTAGCTTTTTTAAAAGTGTTTTTTCCTCTTTTTTGTATCAAAATTGCTTTCTGCAAAATGAGGATAGGGATATAGCCCTTCTTTAGAAGGAAAGCTGCAAAATTAAAAATGCAAAAAAAATTAAGATAAAGGCTAAAAGGAATGAAGCATTTTTTGGAATGTTTGGCTTTGGTAGCAGCATGCAGTTGACAAACAGAAGGCTTCTGTTGCTAAATAATGAATGATAATTAACACATTATCTTGCCTTTATGTCTGTTCAAAGAAGGAGGCAAAATGAGCTGCTGTTCTTCTAAGCTTTCTTGATTTGTATCCTTGCAGTTAGTTTTAACTCATTCACAGTGTGAAGGCAAATGAAATAAGCCTGGTCCTAGTGGCTGATATTCATCAGGAAAAATTGTTTGGAGAAGCCATATGGCAACGGGCGTAAGGTTGTTAACTTTCAAAGCTACTGGAAGTATAATTCTGTCATTTTTCATTTATTCAGTAGTGGCAGCAGATGGGAGAAAACATGCTTCACGTCAGCATGAGTTTCCTGAAACAGAAACAGGCGAAAGAAAAAGGAAGGAGGTATTTTACCTCTGGAAATATCAGTTGCAAAATACCAGTGTATGCTAGGGATAGGCAAACATTTACAGGCAGCCCTTTTATAGAATTTTGGGGTCAATATCTCTGCTTTGCTCCTTCTCTATTACTTCAATGAGCTATAAGTCTCCTTAACCAAACCAAAAACTGTGGGTGGCATGAAGAGTACTGTTGGGAAGCTCAACAGTATCAAGAAATTGGGATGAGTGATTTTCTTTCCTTTATTAAAGAGCAGGATGCTTTTTTCAACTGCACTTAAGCACACTCATGAAAGCAGAATTTAGGAAACTGGGGAGTGCCAGAAACAAGAATACTGATCTTGCTGTGCAAGTGTTTCACTAAGTAAGACGTGTGTCACCCTACACAAGGTGGAGGTGTGAGGGCTGTGTGGACTGAAATAAACTATTCTTGATAGCTTGGAATAATAAAGTGTATAATTTTGAAAAATGAAGCACTACTGCATTCCCTGAGAGCTTTTAAAAAGAAGTATGGAAAGTGGCCAGGTGAATTATGTGGCAGTGGTTGTTTAGAGGAATATATATTTCTGTTGTACAGGGCTGGGTGATGGGAACAAAGTTCTGGCATTTTGACTATGGCATTTAGAACTCCCAAAAAACTATCAATACAGGCTGGAAGATTAGGGATTGAGAACAGCCCTGCTTGAGAAGGACTGGGAAATACTAGTGGATGAGAGGCTGGACATTTCCCAAATGGGCACTCGAGCCCAGAAATCCAACTGTACCCTGGGCTGCATCCAAAGCAGTGTGGCCAGCAGATCAAGGGTGGTGATTCTGCCCCTCTGCTCCCCTCTCAAGAGACCCCACCTGGGCACTGCATCCAGCCCTGGGGTCCCCAGCACAGAAAGGACATGGGCCTGTTGGAACAAGTCCAGAGCAGTGTGACAAAGATGACTAGAGGGCTGGAGCACTTCTCCTATGAAGACAGGCTGAGAGAATTGGTGATTTTCAGCCTGGAGAAGAGAAGGCTCTAGGGAGACCTAATTGTGGCTGTTCAGTACTGAAAGGAGGGCTTAAAAGAGAGGTGGAGACAAATTTCTTAGCAGGGCCTGTTGCAATAGGACAAGGGGCAATGGTTTTGAACTAAAAGTGTTGGTTTAGATTAGATCTAAGGAAGAAATTTTTTTTTATGATGAGGATGTTGTGATACACTAGAACAGGTTTCCCAGAGAGGTGCCCCATCCCTGGAAACACTGGTCGTCCATGTGGACAGGGCTCTCAACAACCTAGTTGAAGATGTCCCTGTGCCTTGCCGTGGGAGTTGGACTATGTGACCTTTAAAGGTCCTTCCAACCCAACTAATTTGTGATTCTGTGTTGGTGGAGCAGAGCCATGGTTGTGTGTTGCCTGTGTCCTCAGCCCCCTGGTGATGGCAGCTGACTCACTGACAGCTCACGAAGACAGCATTTCAAACAGACAAGATGAAAGCAAAAGGCTAATTACTAACAAATGATGCCTCAACTCAGAAGTGTTTAAACAGTGAAGTATCTCTCCTTGTAGGATAGAACTGTGCGGTTTTAACTTCATGGAAACTGCTTGAAGTTTTTGACATTTGAAGTACTCTAGTTCTGTACATATCAGGAGTGTTGGAGATCAATTTTGATAACACTTAGAAAAGACTAGTTGTTGATCTTTCTAAAACCAATCTGTTGGGTTTTGTATGAATTTTATTAAGTCTTCTGTGAAAAGGGAGTTACTACTGAAAATAATAGATGCCAATTTCTATCAGTGTGACGACTGTCTTGCATTGGGACAGGAAAAATTTTGGACTCAAGATACTTCCAGTTGAATTATAAAGTAGTACAATTAGTTCATTACAAAACAGAATATTATATTAAACCTATAGTAATATTAATTGTATAATATTATTATACCTGCATACTTGTAGATAACACACAAGAATTATAAATTATGAGAACAGGATATTCCAGAATTTATTAAAAAGGGAGACATTTGAATCCTTATTAATATAAATTTGGGCACAATTCTGTATTTGAATATAATTTCCCATTCAGCTGATATTTATCTTCATTGTGACATCTAACAATTTGTAATGACTATGTAAATGACAACCAAAGACTTCCAGCTCCCTCATTTCATTTTACAGTCATTCATAAGCACAGGTGGGTTTTGCTTCCTGAGCTACAAGAACATTCTGGTGTATAATCAGTACCCAAAACAAGAATATTATTTTCAGCTGTAATAATAAATTTTGCAAAATAAATTTTGCTGGTGGTCATGGTTTCTGTAACTGCAGTTGTGCTTGCTGATGCTTGTGGTACTCCAATTTTATATACCATGCTGTAGGTTCACCTTTATCTCATTCAGATTATTCCTGGTTTTTTCTTTTCTGTAACTGCTTTTTTGTTTGTTTGTTTTTGTTGTTGTTTGTTTGGTTGGGGGTTTTTTTTTGGTTTTGTTTTGTGTTTGTTTTTTTGTTGTTGTTGTTATTGTTTTATTGTTTTCTTTTTGTAATACCTATAATCTCTTTTCATCCCAGAATGAATTTACTTTTTGTGTGGAAGGGTCACAGATGGAGGGCTTGTATTACCACAAATGTGATCATACACATTTCCCTTTACTTTTCCTTTTTCTCAGACTTGGATTCATGTAGTCAAATATATTAGTTTCGACATCACACCACTTCAGGATGCTTGTACCTACAGGCTGTTTGGCAGGTTGCATTATTACTCTGAAAAAAAATCTGTGTGGAAGCAACCAAGACAGCAGTCATGTTCTTGCCAGAGGAGCATAGCACTAGACAGGAGCTGAATGCAGCTCTTACAGCAGGAAACAAAGTGTTGTCCATTTGGGTTGCAACCAAGCTAAAAGGCTGCCAGTTGTCAACAAATGAGAAATCCCATTCTATTGCGTATGGCAGTCTCCCTTTCTAATTACATATAACTCTGACTGGAAAAGCTAGGATTCTGAGTGTGGCTGGTATAATGGACTATAAGACTGAGACTTCATAGAGTTTTCTGATGCACCAATGTGTGGTCTTGAGCTACTACCTAAGTGCTCAGGGACACACATTTCCCAAGGTCTAACCAGACAGAATTGGGATTCCCAGACCTTCATTTTTTGGAAGAGTTAGGAAATAGTCAACAGCACTAACCCTGGAAGCTCTGGCAGCCTTGATTTTTTGAACCCAAACTGGTGCACACCAAACCAGGTGTATGGGTGGTTCAGATTTCGCAAGTCAGGGATTTATGAGGGAATTTTGTATCAAAGCATTCTCCAAAATGCTATTGTACATGCAAACCAGCAAAAAATTTCTCAAAATTACTTCATTAAATACTACAGAAACCCACTGTATTTACTGAAAATCTTGCAGCTGTAATGTATGTGTTTGATGCTTTGCTGCTGTGGTCACCATGTGGATGCACTATGATGATGAGACATGTAAGACTGTTACACCAAAAAAAAGTATTTTTAGAATGTTATATTTTATGCTTTTTTAAATTAGCTCAGTATTGTCAGAGCATGGTGCTAATATGCCAAGGTTGTGGGTTTGATCTCTGCATGGGCTATTCACTTAAGAGCTGGGCTCGATGATCCGTGTGAGTCCCTTCCAGCTCAGAATATTCTGTGATTCTGTGAAATATCAAATGATGTCATCCAAAGTTAATATCCACTTTATTTTTCACTTTATTTAGTCATTGCCACTTTTGGATAATAATTATTCCTTTGTCCCATTCCCATATGCCTGACATGCTTCATAAGCCTCGTTATGTGATGATACTGGTACTCACTTCAAGTCCTTTCTGTGCCATTGTTTCACAGACTACAACTGATCCGGGCACTAGTGAGAGCAAGAGTGCTGATGACTATATTATGGTTTCCAAAGAAGAGGAGAGAAGTAAAAGTGCTGTTCCAGAGCCAGCACAGCCCCTTCAAGCACACAAGGAGGCAGCGGCGAAGCCAGAAGCTCCATCTCGTTCTTCTTTGATATTTTCCGACCCTCTGATGGGTTCCATTTCAGCCTCCTCCAGCAACCTGAGCTCCAGCCCTGATGATGACAGTAGTAATAACAGCAAAGATTCTGACTTTGCTATTGTAAGCCCGCTGGACATCTAAAGAAACAGTTTGGGAGAGTTTGGGAAATCTGTCATTACAACTCAGCTCTAATTTGTGTGATTCCACGGGTTGGAAAATTCTTTGGATTACAAGGACAGAAAATAGATAAAGGTAGCCCATTTCAGCTGCCAAAAGCCTAAATTAAAATAAAAAGGCAAAGAAACAAAACAAAAGAAAAAGACATAAATTTGCTACTTTCAAAAAGTAATATATACATTTTAATAACTGCCTTAAATAAAGACCCAGTAAAACCCAGTTCTAATATACAATTATTATTGATTATGCTGTTACCCTACTTAGGAGCTTTGTTACTATAGAACTGTTGCTTTCCCAAAACATAGAATAGTATATGCTAGGTACCATAACGGAAATGTGTGGACACCTGGCATCAGATCTGAAGCAGAGAAGAGAGGCTAGATTTAATATTGTCCTTTTACAAAATATGCTTGACTGGGTTTTCTGTGTAGAAAAGGGTACTGTTTCTTCAGAGACTGTGATTAGAGAAGTAGGGAATGAGTATCAAAAAGATTAAAAGCATCATCCTGGTAGGAAGTTTGTTTTCCCTTGAGGAATCCTAGTTTCTTCATTTTCATCCTGCAATAGCCTGAAGGGTGTTCAGGGCAGAGGTTTGTGTAGTTGTTCCTCAGTGCTTACAGGAGACTTATGTGGCAAACTCCTTGAGAATGGAGACATACACAACATAGCCTTATTTGCCTTTCTCCGCTTTTTCCCCTTGAGAGTTCCCAGTTCACCTCTTTCCTTCTTTATCTTTGTCTACTTTTACTTCCCCTGGCATGATTTTTTAAATTTTACTCAGATTACCGCAGTTAAAAAATAGGTGCAAGGGAAATAACAGTATTTCATAATGCAGACCTGAGCTGGTTGAACTAAAGCTAGCCCGAGTATGATAACTTACCAGGGAAGGTTGCAAAAGTGAAATGAAATGTTCATAATTAAAAGCACTTTATGTCTCATTGCTATTATCTTCTATAGATTCTGTTTACATATATTCCTACATGATTTCCGTATTTCTAATCACAAGAAATATAATGGTGCAGCAGCGTTAACCAACAGAAAGTTTCTAATTAGCTCTGTTATTTGTTCTTCTATGGAAAAGCATATTTTTTCCCTTCAAGTTCATAGTACATTTAAGAACAGCTTTCTTCAGGTAGATAAGGAGGGCTTTCTATACTCTCTGATCTCTTTAACCTCTGTTGGAATTCACAAAACAGAACTGGTGGTGTGTAGACTGCTCCTCTTGCAAGACCCATGCAGAGTTGGCTTGAAGAAGGAATGTTAGTATGTCACTCTGTCACAGCAGCAAAAAAAAGCATTGTTTGCTTTTAAGATGCATTTACATTTTATACCATGCAACAACTTCCTATTTGCATGGCAAAGCTTGTGTTTGTTCAAAGTTATGAAATTGTAGTTATTTGCTGCTTAGTCTGTAATTGTAATGAAGTACCGTATCCCAAAGATGAGGTGACATGTAATTTGCTGGTCTTAGATTTTACAAGGTCTGTGTCAGTGACTGAACTGAAGAGTTAATTGTCATGTAATTACATGGTAGCTGCCATCCTTACATGTTCAAAAGCCACCATGTAGTTCTTCAGAGATTATCTGTGCCTTGTAAAATGTTAAAATACTAGAATGTTATGAGCAGGCATAGCATCACACCTCTCTTCAAAAGAGTGATGCAAGCGGTCAGGCAACTGTTTAGATGAAAGATTTTAAATGTGTAACATTTTGGAGAGGTGTTTATTTTGGTTTCATTTTAAGCTTCATAAAAGATCACTTTGGAATTAAGCATGCATGCCTGTCTCCAGTTTATTTTACTGCCCTGAGTTTGCCTGAATGCCAGGGGATTGGGTGGCTGGTTGATTTATTGAGGTCTTTCAAGCTTTTCTAGCTTTAAGCTATACAGCAATGCTTGTGGCGTCATCACCAAAGGGTGGCTGTTGAAGAAGTACCTGTGCAAAGAGGAAAGAAATATTCTGGGGACAGAGAGAAATTTTTTATATTCTGTGATACATAAACCTTCAAAGATTCCAGTAGCTTGGCAGGAGAAAATGTTTTTACTTCTTTTTTTTATTTTTTTAAGCATCAGTCTTTTGATTTCTGTTCTAGTGGGTTGTTTCAGGGATCACATTGCTATTTTCTTGAACAGTCTCATTGCCAATGGAAGAGTGTGATTTGTACAGGTTTTTTATTTTTGTAAATTAGTTGTATCTTTAATGTTGCATATTTTAAAACAGCGGTGAAAGTATATAAAGATTTGGGGAGTTTCTAAGAAGAATCAGTCAATACCGATGAGCTGAATGTGTATCATGCCATGGGATATAATAAAAATCTCCAAAAGCAGAGAGATGATTATACAAATAAGATCAGAGTAACTCCAGTAAATTAATGTGGTTTGGTTGTACCATGTCCTTTCACATCTCAAGTATGTTGTCTCTGATATTTGATTATAGTGCAGAGATAATTAAAAGTATTTTAGTATATTCATGAAGTTAGAAACTTGTAAGTTAGATAAAACATCATCACCCTGTTTTGTGTTATGTTAAGAACATACTGAAAGAGAAATTGTCATTTAAAATACAAGATTATTCTTTTTCTCTGGAAATGACCTGCTCATAATGTTCATGGATAACAATAATCAGATAGAAAAATTACTAGCATTTCAAATTGCTGACAAAAACTGATGCAGCATTAAGATTGCTGATCTGAGACTGTTTTACTGTATCTCACATCTGTAATTTATTACTTTAAAGTCTCTTGCATGTCATGTCAGTTGTATGTGCTGCAGAAAGGCAGTATCATATTTTGACTGGGTATTGATTTAGTTGTGGAGCTTTGTATCTTTACTCTGGAAGAACATTTAGCCCGCTTTATTAAAGAAAGAATTAACAAACTTTCTGGGTTGTGCTTGTGCTGTTTTCTCAAAAAAGAGGGAAAGCTTTTTGGCTAGAATACTGGAAGTATAATTTCTGTGAACTAGAATGATTAAAACTTTAAATCTATATAAGCACAAAAACTGATTATTACTTTAATCAGATTTTATGTATGGGATCCAGGGAATAAAACTGCTTGTCATTTATCTCAACTAAACAATATAGAATATTTCCTGTTTTATGAAATTTCTTGTATCTGAAAATGAATCAGTATTTACCATGACATAACTTTTCTGTAATTTCATGAAGCTCAGTGCAGTGTCTTCATTGTGTCTCAACAACAGTGCCAGTATCTGTACAGTACATTTCTGAATCTCTATACTTAAGTTCACATTCTTAACTCATTCCTATGATTCTCCAGTATGTTCTAATTAAATGGCATAGAGGCAACTATTTTAAAGATTACATTTCAGATTTAAGGTGTACTTGTGCCTGGCAGTTACAACGTCATCTGTTCAGATACATCCTAACATGAACAGATTTTCAAATTCTTGGTGTCAGTCCTTAAATAATACTTTTCAATTTGTGCTGCATGTGTCGGTCTAGAATGAATGATTCTAATTATTTATTAGACTTGAAAAGGTGCAATTTCATAAAATAAACTTCATTTGGCTACAGAATAGTAATTACACTGTCTTGTAATCTGTGCTGTTCTTTTGAGAGTGATTATATACAGTCTGTGCATCAGTGTTTGCCATGTCCCCCAGTCTGCTAGACTCTGGCTTTAGTAGCTAAATTTAGAGATGAAAGAGCATGAAAAAGATCATTAGAGTAACAGCAACTTGAAGCATGCACACAGGCAACTTGCTTTCCTGCTTATCATGACTTATCTAACCACTGAAATGGTAAGGGATGTTTTAGGTATGTGGGGGAATCCTGCAAGAGGCAGAGTGCATAAGCTAGAAACAGACAATGAGCTGGAAGGGATGCAGCTTGAGACTCTGAAACTATGGGTCCTTTAGGGTAGGAACCATCTTTTTCTCTGATGTTGTACAACACACACACTGTCAAAATTAGGATAACAATAATAATGATATACTCATTATTTCCCCACATTTTGCTCTTTCAAACTGCAAGCTAGATTTAATCCAGTAACAGTAACTCAGCTGATAGTAGTAGTGTGGGAGCAGCAGAGTCTGGTCCCACACTGCTGAAATAAGCACAGATGAGGAACAGTCGTTTAAATAAATTAATTAAAACCAAAGAAACCTCACACCAGAAACAGGACTATAGTATTGCCAAATAGAAAAAAAAACTGTATTTCTTTCCAGATATCTACAAATTAAAAGAGGTATTTTCTAAACTGTGCTTCAGGTAGCATTTGTGTAACTTGTTTGACTACAACAGGTAGGTTTATGTAAACCTGTCTTTGTTTTTAACTTGTAAAAGCCTAGCTGATGCCAGGATGTGGGAAGTATTAAAATATATCAGCTGCAGAGGGATGACATTGTGGTTCCATTTTCTGTGAATGGTTAGAATTTGATCCTTCAAATCCTGCTGATTTAACACTTTCACTGTCTTCTGTGGTAACAACATGAAAAACCCTGTAATCATTTCCAGAGGCCTGATGGGAATTCCACTGCTGAAGTCATCACATGCAGTTGCAGAGCTTTGAGCTGAGAAAGTTTTCACAGCTTTGCCTTTGACTGGGAGCTTTGGAAGCTGTAGCAAACCAGGTTTGTCTGCATTTTTAACTCATACAAAGACACATTTGAAGATATTACAAATTATCATGTCAGTATTTGAGACCTTTTGAAATATAAATGCTACACAGTTTTGAGATGGAAGAATAGTTGTCAAAATATCTTGACTGCCCACCTGCTGTGTTAATTGAATTCAGCGGATGGGGAATATAGCAGCATTCCCAGAGCATCATTAAACTGCCCTTTCAAATAAGAGTATATCAAGCAAACAGATACTAGAAGGCAGATTGTCAGTGGTGTCGTATAGCTTTCTGCATAATATATATCTCTCTGCAATAGTCAGGAAAATCCATCATTTCTGTCCACAAATGGAACGGCTTGCAACATTCTGGAACACATGGCAGAAAATGTAATTGAACGTGAGCCTGTTCATAAAAACATTTTTAAGCTTCAAGGATTAGAATACATCAAAACGATTTTTAAAATATAAAATAAATATGCACAAATCTTATTTAGGCTTGGAAAGATTATCAGGTCTCCAAAAAGTTTCATTTAGTTTAGAGAGGTTCAGTGGAACTCCAGCCTCCAGGTAATAGCACAGGGCGACTGACAGGAGCACCCATAGGAGGTTGGGACTGCAATGAACTTCTGGTGCTTTGGACTTGTAACTTTCAAATTCTGAAGAACATTAATTCCAGCATGTAAGCAATGAATTGCACATGTTTTATAAGTTGCAAAGAAGTCATGATGGGGGAATTCCACTGCAGACCCTCTTTCCAAACTTCTTTTGTTCTCATTTCCCTTAGTCAAGCCCATCTGACAATTTTGTGGTACCCATAAAAACTTCAGCTGTTTCATCTTCTTGAATAACTGAATTCTCAGTCACTGTGATCAAAGTTAGCTGTTAATCATCTCAGGACTCTAATACCCTGTGCCTGCAGCCTGGCCACCAGCCCAGCCAGTGTGCTTCTTGTTCTCGTGTAAAATCTGAAATCTTATGAAAATCTCACAATACTTCTACAGCAGGTGGTATCCATATTCAGTCCTCATGACTTCCCTGTGGTAAACTTTATTGTAAGTTTTATTGCCTAATATTTTCTCTAGCCATACTTCTGTTCTAGTTCTTACAATCAAGAGAAAAATAGAAGAAAATCTTGGCTTTGCTCAGAAATACTTGTTTTTTTCTTTTCTGCCTTTACTGTTAAAATCTCTTTGCTGAGAATTTTTGGTTCTGTTTCTTGTAAAACAGCCTATGTGTATTTATACTGCTTGTGGGGTAAAGTTCTGATATATGTTCCATTTAAAAATGCTGAAACAAAATACTGATTTTTCCAAACTTTTTCTCATAATAAATGGGGCTTGAGTTAAGCATAAACTTTAAAAAATACTATGAACGCAAATAGTGTCTGTTTTCAATTTCTAGAAGACAACATCTTTTAGTAAACACACTGGAGGCAAATAATGCTCTCTACCAAACTATGCCATTTTCTTTTTTTAAAAAAAAAATTACATTCCCTATTCCACCTGGTGAGACATGGAGAGGCAGAACTGTATTTGGGGCAGGGCGCACCTGGGCACAGGGGAAGGTGGCCCACAGTTGTGCTTGGTGAAAATGTGGGGCACCCAAGGCCATGCCACACTGGCATGTGTTCCCATGTCTGGAGCATGGAAAGACCCACCCTTGTGCAGGGAACACAGGCTGCAGTGTTGCTGGACAGATGGAGGATCAGAAGATGAAAATTAATGTATTTTACCTTCCATGGATCTTTTAGCTTCAGAGGAAATAAGAACAGGAAGGCAATTGCAAGCATCATTAACTGTGCTGGCATTGCAGTCACTGAAATGTGCTTTCCTCAGTGTTTTCTTTCTGTGGGATGCAAATTTTGCATTGTAGAGGGGCTTATAAAGAGCTAATAAAAATCTCTTTTTTCATATTCTGACATTTTTGCTGTACATTAATATTATGTATTTTTAAAGAGATGTTGTTATCCACATAGAGATTGCAGCAGCTTGCCTCCTTCTCTCTCCTCCATGTATCAGACATTCTGATGTAAGCCAAAGAAAAGAGAGAAAGACAGAGCATCTTTAAAATTCTTGTAATCTATGTGCTGAGTTTTTATGTGATGGTATTAGCATGCTTGGTAGCCTGCATTGAGTAGAAAACCAATGTCTATTAAAACATGCTGGAGAGAGAAAAAAAGTGTCTACAATTTTTCATCTACATGAGCACTGTGTTTTGCCAGTGCTTGTTATGTTGCATCTGGCCTTAACTGGAGGAAGCTATATGATGAATATGCCTTCTGCAGATTTTTTTTTTTTTTGAGATAGAAAATTAGTACTTTCTTTTGCATGTAAGATTTCTTATCATTTCCTTAAATCTTCATTCTCTGAAAATATCTTTTTGTTGTGCTTCTATAAGATATGTCAAGAGTTTATTTTTCTTCCTCACCGTCCTCTGTCTTTTGTCTGCACCCTGGCCTGTACACAACCTGCAGAACCATCTCATCTCCCCATCTCTGCCTTCCCTTCCCCAGGTTGGGATTTAGGAGAGATCCAGTTGCAAATCATTTGGGGAAAACTGCACCAAAAGATGTGAGGGTACAATACAAATTGCAGCCTCACCCAAATGAGCAAGTCACACCTTGCCGGCGACCATTCACTGGTTCTCTGACCCTGCAAAGACTCGAGCACACCAAAGGTCTTGGGCTGTTGAGTCTGGCCTCTTGTGAAGGGGAAGAGTTTGTAGGAAGCAATCTGCATGATAGAGCACTGTACCATTATTTGAGAATAACTGTATCCTTTACCTTCAAAATCAGAAAACATGAGTCTAACCTTCAGCAAGTTTATAAAATGCACAGCAAAGACCTCAAGCACAGAGAAGCAGCCCAAAATTCTCACATTCCATAAATCTGTCAATGCATACTGTGGATGCTGCCATGGGCAAGATAAAGACACGCACTGGGGGCTGGTGATAAAAATATGAACTCCAGTTTCTGCTGCAAAATGCTGATGAGACCAAATAGAACCATCAGGTAGAAGCAAGGCGAGTTCTTCCTTCAGGAAGAAACTGTAAAAGTTTCAAGTATACTACTTTGATACTCTAAGAGAAAGTCACCTTCTCGTTCAAAATTATTTCAGTTAGAAACTTTATGTAATCCTTTACAGAAAGTACAAAAGGTGAATATATACAAAACTTTTAAAACTAACATATTTCAGTCATGGTGTTTTAAAATTCCTTCATCAATTCACTGGTTTCTGGATGGAGGGGAGCTTATCTTTAATAAGAAATAAAATCTACATGAGGCAGGTGGCCCTGTGCTCCAGGATGATCCTTGGGAACAGAGCCAGGCAAGTTTAAAACTGAGATACTTAAAACAGAAAGTGGAGCTTTGCAGCTTACACTCAAAGGCAGGACTGGCATTTCATGGGGCTGGCTGCTGGAGGTAGATGCTGACCTGGAAAATTCACTCCTCTAGGAGGGCTGGTAAGCAGCACTGTCAGGGACAGCTCATACACTGAGGCAGATGGAGCTGTCTGTCTGTCTGTCTGTTGTCTCTGTAGATCCTGTACAATATCAAAACCACTGGCTGTGTGATTGGCATTCACCATATTTTGGATGAAAGACCAGTAGGTTAACCCAAGGTTTTAGCAGCGTGCTGGGCAATCTTCTCTCTAACCTTATCACACTTGCAGGCCACCAAGAGATAAATCCCCATTTCTAGAGCCTGCAGTGCAGACCCAGCCTGCTTGGATCAGATCACCCTGAGTGTGAATCAGCACACTTTGACTGATGCCCACTGCCACAGCAGCTTATTCAGATCAAGGTGTTCTTCTTTTTATCCAACATCTGCTGGCCTAGATAGCCATGTGCATCCATGGTTCATCACAGGGCTTGGGGTGGCACTGCAAGCCAGCAAGTCAGGGGAATGCAAATGGTCTCCAGAAGCAAAGGCACCACAGGGAAGTTTTGATTTATTTTTGATAAGAGGATCTGTTAAAATTTGAGAGTCTTAGAGAGAATAACAGAGGACTAATCTTATTGAGAGTATTTTGTTTATCAGATACATTGCTGCACTGGTAACTTGGGTAATCTGGGTGTTGGGGAGAGCCTCCTTTCCCCTTCCTGCTCCATCAAAATAGTTCTGTGCTAGCACTTGTTAATCTCTGCTGATGGTGTGTGCCCTTTGAAAACACCCATAAGAAATGACAGATGCTTGCAGGGTCACTGGAAATGCTCACTGCAGACACAGCCCCTAAGTACCCCTTGGTCTTCAGAGATACCAGACACTGATCACACTTGTACTCGTGGGTCTGGTTGGTTGTGCACAGAACGTCTGAGCTGAAAGCGTCCTTGCAGCTCTGCTGGGAGCAGCTCACCACAGAGCCTCCGTCAGCAGCCGCTGGTGGTGCACAATCACGTAGCAAACCCCAGTGAGGGCGGCTGCAGCTCATGCTTCTTGGAAGCCCTCGCCTCAGTTCAGGGGAAGTCTCAAAGAGGAATCACAGGCCAGCCAGTGCCTCTGCACTGGGGTGGGGATGGGACACTTGCCAGCAGCCCAGCACTGAGCGCTGGCAGCATATGGACAGCAGTGCCTGGCCCTTGCCCACTCCCTCTGGGGCTGCATTGATTTTGGGGACTCTGTGGGGCGCTTGGCACCCATCCTGCAGTGCACTCTGTGTCAGACATCCTCCCCAAGCTCTGCTCCCCAGCCCCTCAGCATCACGTGTTGCTGTTCTGGGGCTGCTGTGGAGGTAGTGGCAAGTTTGCAAAGGCTTTTGGTGTGAGTGGGCACTGAGCCTCATCCAGGCTGGTGTAGTCTAGTTTTCATACATCCGTGCGTCCTCCGTGGCTACATCCGGGGAGAAAGATTTCCCTTTTGGTTGTAATTGGCTTCCTGCTGAAAATCTTCACATAGCTGTTCTTGGGACTTGAACCCATCACGGGGGTGAAGCGGGGGTGTTGGTGCTCTTCACTTTTCCGGAGTCAGGGAAGTGTTGGGGGTTATTTTCTCTCTTTGAATTGTGCATAGGCCTTCCTCCCGGGGATGAGCACACTGCCTCTCCAGTGCTGCTCTGTGCCACGGGTGGTGATCACAGGGCTCCAACAGGCCACTGAGCATGTTCCAAAGGGAGCAAGGGATCACCAGGGATGATGGGAAAAGTTTGCTTCTGAGAAGGTAGAGCCATGGCCCTCGCCTGTCCCATGCACAGCCTGTGTCAGCAGGGAGCTGTGCAGCGCAGCCTCCAAGTTGCCCTGTGAACCAGGCTCTTCAATCAGCAGAGCGTGAAGAACCCCATCACCAAGGGTCCTCTGCCACGCAGAACGTGGGCCAGGCAGTGCCCTGTGGACTGCCAGTGCCCCACAGCACAGTGAATCTGCACTGACCTGAAACTGCATTAAAAATAGATCCCGAGATACAAGGCTGGGGAGAGCGGAAAGGCGAAGCATGAGCTCATTGCTGCTGCTGACTTTTGCATTTGAATAGATTTTCTTAAACAGTAAAGAAGCAGCTAACATCTGGTTAGACTTTTGTTATGGAGTCCATGTTTTAGCACCATAATTACTGTTGCATTCAGAGTTTTCCTGAATTCCCTTATTTTACATCTCATATAGCTTAATGAAAGTGACTAAGAGATTGAGCTGAAAATGCTTGTGCAATATTGATTAGGAGGATAATTTTAGGAAGGCTTGGTAACTAGAACATTGCATTAAAAGAACTTCTTTTTCTAAAAAATGTTATATAGTGTCTTGTGATTTTGTGACCTACCTTCTCAGCTAAAGATTAAAGATGATTTTTTCAAACTAAAGATGTTGGAGAGTAAAATCTACTAACTGTACCATGATAATAATGAGGAGAGGCTGTGAGAGCAGTGTGAAGGCTGTTGACTTCTAGTTGCTTCAAAACAGATTTACAAACAGCTCAAAGAATAAATTTAAGTACACATGAATAACAAGTGCATTAGTCGCATTAGGGCTTAATGAAGTGTTTATGAAAAGCAGCCTTGTAGCACTGTCCTTCAGAAGTAATTCACTAAGATAGGTCTGATAACATGTTCTGGATTTAATTTGTCCAGTGTTTAGGTCTATTAGGAAGGGAGACAAGGAGAGGATACCCAACATTGTTTCAGGATTAACAATCAACTGGAGAAAGTCAGAAATTCTCTGGGGGTATCTGCACTTTATCAGATTGAGCTTTATGTGTTGTAAATTCAGAGACGCCATTAAAATCAAGAGTAGAACCTACACCGAGCTCTGATTTTCACACAAATCCTGGTAGGAACAGGGTGAGAAATAGGGAGTTGAAGAGAGATTCTGTTCATAACAAAAGGAGGCTGCCAATCACCATTTAATTGCCTCTGTGCAAGGCAAAGCACTGCCTTTTCTGCCCC